TCCTCGGGGTCGATGTCGATCTTAAAGGTCTGCTGCTGGAGAGTCTTCAGGGTGACCTGCATGGTGCCGCCGCGCAGCTCCGCTGCCGGGCCTGCTCCAGGTGCTGGCCGCTGGGCGGGGTCTGTGGCCTGGCGTGGCCCTGGGGTCGCCCGCGCTCCTCGTGCGCTCGGAAGGAAGATGGTGGGGGTGGGGATTTGTCACATTCGCCCAGCGGGGCGGCCTCTCCCCGCGCCGTGGCCTCGGGCCGCGCGGCTGCCTACGCGCCTGCGGCCTTTCCCGCGAGATCGGACCGCCTAGCGTCCTCAGCACCAGCCCCTGAGTGTGCAGAAAGCTCGAGAAGCGCTTCGAAACAAGCAGAGAATCCGCTAGCTCACCACAAGCTGGTGGCCGCCATCATCGTGACTCGCCGAGAGATGCCCCCTCCCCCACCCGAAAAACCTGGGGGATGGGGCCGGGCTGGCGCAGCGCGCAGGCGTAGGTTGCGGCGAGACTGTGCGCAGGCGCAGCTAAGAACTCCGCCCCGGAATTGGGGCGGGGCGAATGTGGCTGCGGGATGCCCGCGGCGTACGCAGGCGCAGTGCCTGTGTGTCGTGGGCTTTAGGGCTGCCTCGTAGCGTCTGCAACCTGGGCGTTCTCCCGCTCGCCGCCGCTCCGCCTACGTCCAGGCTCCGCCCGGCGGCTCGAATTGCGCAACCCGTTGGCGTAACCGGGAGCGCAACGTGGAGACCCGACTCGGTGGATTCCAAGCTCTGCAGCTGGGGAACTAGAGGGCGGTAGGTCGGGGCCGGGCTTAATTGAAAGGATCGTGGTTACCACGGAAATGAGCCCGGCGCTTACCGTACGCTTGCTGTGTGGCTGAGCCCTTGTGGGGGTGACTGGTGCTTTCATTTTGAGAGCACAGACCAGCGCCAGACAACCTGTGTGGACCCGGAGCCTAAAGAAAAGGGCCGGTAACGGGAGGTCAAGCTCTTTCACTCTTTTGGGCAGAACTGTCCAGTGGTTCCTCATCTCACCCAGAGTAAAAAAGTTGTTAAAACTCGGCCCTGAGCTCCTGCCTCTCACCACGCCTCTCTCCAGCTAGCTCTGGATGGTGGTGATGGTGGATGTTCAGCACCTGTTTCCGGCTGCCTTTGCACCCGCTGTTCCCGCCCCCAGTCCTCTCTCCCCAGACACCTGGGTGGCTCGCTCTCTCGCCTCCTTTGAATCTCTGCTCACGTGTCACCTTCTCGGTGAGATCTACCTTAGCTACCGGACCTAAAGCCGCAACTTGCCTAGCTCCATGAACCTGCTCAGTTGTTTTTTCCCCTGTAGCGTTTATCATCATATGTTTTTCACCGCCCTTTTCTTTTTTTTTAAATTGATTAAGGTATTACATATGTGTCCATATCCCCCCATTGCCCCCCTCACCTCCCTTTTTTAAACCCCAGACTGAAACCGCAGGAAGGCAAGGATCTTGTTTTGTTAACCAATATAGAAACACGCCTGGCACATAGACACACAAATGTTGGTGGAATGGGTGAATGGGCTTCCGGTTCCTCATCAGTGGGATAGGAGAACCTCTATTTTATCTCCTATTATACTCACTACTCAATTATTACTCTGAATACTTCCAGTCACCAAATGTGTGGGATTTCCCCCCCTACACTGAGCATTCTTCCATTATCTATGGACATCAACTGGATGCCCTACAGTTCAACTAAATTCTGACGCTGTCTACCTTTGAGATAGCATCCGATCCCACAAGTTAAGGGCTCAGTCCCACAAGGCTGCCCCCACTTCAGATGCCAGCTGCAAATGCCAGCTTGTTACGGGTACTTAAGCTGACTGGCTATAAACTAGAGTTCCTACAACTTCCTTCTTGAGTTTGATCATTTGCTAGAACTTGGGGAAACACATTTACCAGTTTATCCTCCTATATAATAAAAGGCTGGTATGCAAATTGTCCCCTTGGCCAGGAATTGGACTGGGAGGCCGACCAGGGGGCGGGGCCGCCAGCCGCCCTCAGCCCCTCTCCCCAGTTGGCCCCACCCCCGATTGGCCCTTCCACCCCATAGGGAGCAGGCCAGCCGGACAACCCCACCACCTGTGCACGAATTCATGCACCGGGCCTCTGTAATCTAATATAATAAAGGATATGATACAAGATACAGCTGTACAGCCAGAGGAAATACATAGGGCAAGGTTTGGAAGTGTCCTGAGTGCAGGAACTTCTGTCATCATGGAGTGTATGGGAATGATGTTCTCATAGTTTGCTGGCGAGATTACAGTTTTTTACAACCTTTTGAAAAGTCATTTAGCCACACAGATGGTTCTTAATATCTAGAATTTAAACTGTCATACATACCACATAGATATCCCTAAAAGTATTTTTCTCTACTTAGCTATTATGATTTGAAAAGTTGGTTTTATGGTGCAGTCAGCCAGCCAGTGGGGCAAAGGCCTGACATCCACATGTTCTATGTTTAAACAGTATCCTTTACACAACCCAACATTCCTTTTTCTCATTTGACCTGATTTTCTCATTAGTTTTGCAAGAGTAGAAAAATTGTTAGCAATATAAATTGTGAAATATATCTTTTGCTAAAGTTCAATGTGTTCAAATAGTTTTGTGATTATTTTTCTTGTTCTGTTTTTCCCCAATTCTTTTTCTCATTCAACAGGTTTTTCATTTCTAGCTAAAGCTGATTTTAATGCATTTATTTCAAGCATACCAGGCTTGCCTTTTGAACTAAAAATCATAGTTGACTTTTTGTTGGTAGCATGTTTATTTGTTAATTGGTGTATTATAATTTATTCTCCATATTTATTGGGAAGCGATTATATTCCACGCCCTACCTGTGTCGATGAATCTCTGAATCTTTGCCCTCAAAAGGTTACTAGGATGCAGAGAAATTGCAACCCTTGTGCAGTGCTGGTAGGAATGTAAACGGTGCAGCCATCATGATTGTTCTTCAAAAAATATTAAGCATGAAAATACCATTTAATCCAGGAATTCCACTATGGTTATATATCCAAAAGGATTTAAAGCAGATTCAAACAGATATTTGCACACCCATGTTCACATTAGCATAACTTACCTTAGTCAAAAGGTAGAAACAACCCAAATATCTATTGAATGGAAAGTGAGGGCTCCTTGTTCGTGGACCCATGCTTATTATTTGTGGTTTTGCAATACATGCTTGCCTCTGTTTTGCAGAGCTTTTATATATTAACTAAGAAGAGCCCCAGGACCCAAAGTGTTTAAAATAGAAAGTTTGAAGATAGCCGAATGTGTGCTAGTTGATTCACAGACTGGACCACAAAGTTTGGATCCCAGTTTAGACTTCAAAAGGAATCGGTAACATCTTTTCAAATTGTAGATTTCAGCATAGTCTTACCTACTTTCGCGTTTCAGCCCCACAATCGCAGTCCTTGTCAGAGCCTAAAGGAATGTGATATCATTTGAGAAATAGTACATCCTTCTTACCATTTATTGTAATTCCCTTGGTCCCAGAACACTTTTTCTGGTCCTTACATTTTTACATGCTTTGATTCTTCCAGGATTTTAACATTGCTGCTACTATTTATGGTTCTATGTCACTACCATAGTGTTGTCATTTACCTCCATCTTCTTGAATGTTCATCCTATACCCTCGCTTAAAGTGCTGTACGCCATCATGCTGACTTCTTTAAGAATCTCCTCACCTCTTTTCTTTTCATTGGAATTGCCCATAGTCATGTTTCTGAGCACTTTCTGGTACTGTCTCCTTTTGGAAACTTCTGGAATTATGCCTATATTTTCTTAAAATATTTTGAAATCTAGCTTCCTAAAGTCCTCTGTATACATTTTATCCATCTCAACCTTGCCCTCCCTTGAAAGGTGCTCATCCCTTTCACTCCAACAAATTACTTTTTCCCATTGGTTGGAATCAGAGTACAGTTATTTTTGTACCTTCCTCTACCTTATAGGACATGAAATTGTTAGGAAGGCAAGTAAAAGAATCTGCTTTTATCTGAATGAAGTACCCAGAATGGTATCTCCATTGTGTGTGTTCTGCCAATTGTGTGGCTTTCCTCCAAGTGGCTCAGCTCTGCTTCCCTAACAACATTACTTCTGCTCCTCTCTCCTTTCATCTTCATCCAAGTGTTCAGGAATTCCTCTGACTCTATTGTTATCACAGCCTACAGTGCTGCTCCATCTCCTCCCAACAGGTCTTTTGCTCACAGCACACCCTTCTATCAGTATGTTCCCATGGATCCATTCCATCACGCCAACCCGCAGTGGTATCTCTGAGGTCTTGTTTGTCACCCTGTGCTGTAACCCCAAGGTTACTCTGTTGCTCATGTTCTGAGCACGATATCTGGATATCTGCTGTGTATGTTTGTTTCCTGATGTCCTTTCCAATTGTTTTCTCATTAAATTACCCAGCATCTCCCTCCTGTTGAAATTCTTCCCAGCCTTCTTGAATGTCATCCATGGAAACCCATTTCAGTTTTGTCTAGGTGTTTTTTTTCTCCTTCCCATCTGTTTTCCATTTACAGCCCTTTTGGCCAGAGGAGTTGGTCTCTGACTAAACATTCTTTTCAGTCTTTGAAAAATGCTCTTCATTCTTAGTCAGATATCTGTCATTCCTACATTTGAAGCTATGGCCCTGAAATAAAAAATTACACCAACGTGAAAAAAAAAATTACACCAATGTGTATCTAATAGTTCATATTTCATTTCATATTTTATTCTCAACATTTGTGCGTTTTAAATAAATAAGTCCTTTATTTCTTCAGTTTTCGAAGTCTTTTATACCCCAGATTTCACAGTATCTCAAGATACTTCCGTACTCTGTTTTCTATTTTGATCAGTTTTCACTTCCCTCTAACTTGGCAATTGATAGCTTTGACCTTCCACAGAAGTCTCTGCCATAGGCTAGATTCATACTCCATGAAAATAACACCCCTTCTTGCATGCATTGATTGTGTCAATTCTCAGACATTACCATATCCCTCACAAGGGGAGTCCGCATGTCCCAGCATGTAACTTTTCCTCCATAGCTTTCCCATTTCATGTGCCTTCCTCCTCTGTGGGAAAAGAATATTATGGGTGTAGTATAATAGAAAGGAGGCTTGCTCTGCTACTTCTTACTAGGTAGGTAGAGAGAACAATAACTAAGTGAACTTGCCAAACCTCAGCTTCTTTATCCTTTATGTGGGGATGTCATACTGACTTTACAGGGTTATGATGATGATTTAATAAGATACTATATATGAAACCACTTTGTATGCTAAATGTAACACAAACTTAGACTTTATTATTATTTTTTCAATCCTGACCCAAGGATGTGTTTTTACTGATATTTGAGAGAGAGAGAGAAAGAGAGAGAGGGAGAGAGAGAAACATCAATGTGAGAGAAACATCGATCAGTTGTCTCCCGTATACGCCTGGACCTAGGT